CCTCCCCGCCCCGCCCCCTCCTCAAGTCCAGGTCTCATCGGTGGCCTCGTTGCTTTGCAGAACATGAATGCAAGCAACGGAGCGCACGAGAACATTCGGATGATGATTATTGTGAACCCAAATCAAACGAAAACATTGGACTAAACCTCACATTTCAACTTCATCTTATTCGGAGGCCAATATGCGATTTTTTTGGGGGTGTGGGGGGGGGCTCCCCATTGTAAGGCCTCACAATCCTATTTTTAATTTTTGTGACGATTACAATTCTTGTCATATCTTGTAATCGTTCTACTAGTAGCACTCAAATCAATCCTTGTTGTCATGAGATCAAATTGTTGATTGAGATATTTGGAAGCGTGCTCCTTCCTTTCTGATCTCGTCATCATCCATTGTTTATTGACTCGGTCGTTCATTATTGATGTGCACCTTGTGGCTTCTCTTCTTTCTCGTAGGCCTGAGATCTTATTGGGAAAAAGAAAGCGGCCCCGTCGTCACGATGATGACAGGCTGACATTTTTTAATCCAAGTTACAAATGTGTTTTTTTTAGCACCTTAGGAAAAAAAAACCCTTGCGAATGTCGTGCAGAGGTAATGGGAAGTCGTCGGAAGGTGAAGTTCACGGCGAGGTTAAAGTCACATGTACACAACTCCTATTTTTATTGAGACGTTTGTTTTTGCCCTTTTATGAAATGTGCCCCCACCCCCGCCCTCCCCCAACAGGAAGTCAAGCAGCCTCCCCACGTCACGCAGGACCAAGAAGCAGCTTGGCGCTTTTGACGTGACAAATTTGCCGCTTCTATTTTGAGCCTGGCCGCCAACGTGCCGTGCCGCTCTCCACCTCAACGTTTGACCCTTCCCAAGAAGAAAAAGCACATTTCACATAAAAAAAAAAACAAAAAACAAAAAAACACACGTGCTCAATTTCACGTTTCAAAAATCAAAAACAAACCCCCCAAAAATCCTGGACACACCCCTGTCAAATAAAACGCAATCATGCCGAATAGATGCGGTAAGAGACACACCATGGTCAAGGCTTATTTGGTGATTATTTATTTCCTAAATCGTCTTATTTATTTTCGGATATTTTTTTTCCGATCAAAAAGGTTCATGTTTGGTTCTGGCTGCTTTTGGGAAACCAAAAAATGGCGACGTTTCCACACCTCTGGCATCGTCACACTGTTCCAGATTTTCTTCCAAATTGAGCCAAAAGACCGAGAAGGGAAAAGTTTTTCACAATGTGCAGTCACTGGGGAGCTTTCAGCAGAGGCCTGCGGGCTTCTCGGGCTGCGTGCAGGGGGGGTCGGGGCG